ATCAGGTAATTCTCCTGGTGGCAACCGCAGTGCTTTGGTTATTGGGACATCTTAGGGTCATATTGGTTGAAGCATTGTTTTCCGTACGAGTTTGGAACTCTGGTATTGTAATGAGATTACAATAATCATTTGTTAAACAGTTTATGCCAAGTGTATTTTTTAACATGACAAATCCAACCCTCCATACTGCCACTATTGTGGAAACTATATAGTTATATAACTCCAAAACGAAGCTTTCTAGAGCATTAAAACTTGGAGGAGATGATTGAGGCTGGTAGAGTTTTAACGATTTGTCAACTTCGGGATCCAACTACCTTAACATGAATCGCAGATCCTCACTTTAAGTAATGTAAAGTCTGTTTCCCATCTTCACAGTAAATTTGCTCTGCAATGAATCCATGCTCAGCTATATAGAACGAAAGAAATGTGATTAAACATGTCTATACTATTGCCCACGATCCATGATAGAGAACTGGTGTCGATATTAGAAGACAAAGCTCTTGGTATCCACGTTTGAATTTTACTTTGTGATCTTGGTTAGTTGTGAGTTCTACGAGTTCCTCTTCCAAATTTGATGAATCTTCAGAATCTGCTTTTGCGAAAAAATCTGAAACCCAACTCGGTATATAAGTGTGTCAAGTATCTTAGAAACGCTCTATAAAATCAACATGAACGTTCAATGTTGGCAGTAAGTAAACAAATCTTCCTGCTTTACAGATACTGCTGATAATGATGGAAAGAGTATTCATCTCTATAAAGAATGTTTGAAGGAAGTTTTCCCGCAAAAGCATAACGTTGTCTTTTATTTTAATTAGATTTTGCTCATTCCTTTGCAATTGACATTAACTTAATTGCATATTTTAAACAGGTCTGTCAAATAAGCGATTCATTTTTGATAGAAATAGGTTTCCGCGCAATTTTTCGTCTCCATCTTCAAGAAAGTCCAATTCTGAGTCAAATAGAAAAACCTTTAGAGACCCAACGCACCGTATTCTGTGTGCAGCAACAATGAATTGTGGAATTGTAGTCTTACAAAGATGACCAAATAATCGGTCATTCAACGAATTGCTTGTAATCTTTTTGATTTCTCTCATAACGTAATGGAGTGACATATGAATAAGACACTGTACTGTGAGTACATTTGGCACTTGTTTCAAAAGTACAATGAGATGAGAATATCGGGAATCCGGTAAAACATCAAACCTCCGGCATCGCTGCGGCCGCAATAAGATCGTGCAAGAACGGGACTGACAACGACTGAAGATAATCATTACAGAAGTGCAACCCTTCCGTAAATTTCTGCAGATTTCATAACTGGGCCATCAACAAGTGTCAGCGTGCGAAACATTCAAAGGTACATTATCAATATGTGGTTTCGGAGCCGAAGACCCATTCGGTATCTTTGATGTCTGCACGACACAAAGCTTTGCGCCTCGCCTGGGCCCGTCAACATCGACATTGGACTGTTGAAGTCTGGAAACACGTTGCCTAGTCTGACAAGTCTCGTTTCTCATTGTTTCGAGCAGATGGACGTGTACGAGTATGGGAACAACCTCATGAATCCATGTAAAATTTGTGTAAGAACCTGGCTGAATTCCTAGGCCTTTCAAAATACTGGGAATTACAAGACATTATTTTATTGCTAAAAGCCCACATTTTGCGCGAAGTATTGTACAGGCACAGATTACAACTCGGAGTAGATTCTCGTACAGTCAACAGACTCGTAACATCTTTAGTTGTGAATTAGAGGAATAATATAATAATAATAATAATAATAATAATAATAATAATAATAATAATAATAATAATAATAATAAATTATAAAATGCATATTTGCGTAAATTTTAAATAGTGACTTAATTGACATAAGTAATATATTTTCATTTATAGAATAGGTTATTTTGAACCTGAAAATGATCAAAAGTGCAAAATATTTTAAAAATTTTATTTTCAAAGTACTTCAGCTTCGATTATTAAGTAGAATAGCTTGAACATTTATTTCCTAGTAAAAGTAAACGGTTACGCACACAAATAAATGCTTTTGTTTGGTAGAGTAAATGATTTTACAACTTACTGCAGACTTGATGTATCGTCTAAGTTTTATTCACATTACCTATTGTCTCATATTTCACGTAAGGACTTTTGAAATTCCACGTAGATTTACGAAGAAGTTGCAGTAGTTGCAATTCGCCCTCGTTCTCATGAAAGTCTATTCCACCAGTCACGATCAACACATTAATCTGATCAGATTAATCCGATTATTAAACCAGAACACTAGCGTGGTACTTCGAAATGCCATTAACGAAGTGCATTGGCGCATATATGAGGCTATGGCTTCACGATGAACTAGTGCACCGCGAAATCTAAAATGTAGGACTTTCACTTACTTTTAACCTAAATGAATGGATATGCAAACATATTGTCTTTTGACCATGAGCTGTTAGAAATTTTTTTAGAAGTGCACGTAATGTGACACAAAGGCAGATAATGACTGACAGTTTCATTACATTCAATTACTTTCTAGCTATCAAATGTAATCAACAACTTTAAAATAACCATGTACTTCAGATTGCGGGTCAATGATCCCCATATCGATCAGGTTTTTGTCCAGTTTCCCTGATCCATTGAGCAAATGCTGAGATGGCCTCTTGTTTTGCTTCTGGACGTAAATACAGCTTCACTGTGCGCACGTTTTGTTGAACTCTCCTTTCGTTTGTAATGGTAGGGGAAAAGGTAAGGGCAAGTTACTATTTTGTTAGCAATGCAGAAAAATCATACTTACAATTCTTTTACCAATGCAAATAAGTTCTCTATATCTCGGAAACGTAAGTCTCATTTTTTTCAAATAATGCTAATCTCGCGATTTTTGAAAATTTATTTTTATTTATTTATTTTAAACTTTTACTCTTTTTTCAACTATTTATAGTTAAAATGACGGAAAGGGATTCTGGAACTCAAGAAAATGTGCGTAGATAATCTTCTCCCCCATACGTCACATTTTTTTTTTGTTTTTTTGACTAAATAAATCTAAACCAGAATGGGAGGCCCTGATTAGACAAGTCGCATTTTCACAAAAGTAAATTTTAAGATCGTTATCAATCAATTAACTCCTAAAGGTATTGTCATTGCAATCAGAAGTTTGTCTTCAGCATCACATCCAGCTCATCCCATTGTTCAGGACTTCATCGATTGCTCTCTTCTTTTCACCTCTTAACTTTTTCTTCCAAGATTATTAAAAACGTCTTACATTTTATAGTGTCTTTAGAAATGTTACTTTTCCACAAAATGTTTTGTAAATTTCCTTCCGATCTCTTTGTACCATCATATTTTTTCTCCAAATCCCGACTTCTTCCCATCTCAGCGATGGAATGCGAGACTGCAGAATCTGAAATCTTCTGGACTAGCAATACATCCTATTTAAAATTATAAATTTCATATTTTTGTTGGTTTCACTGATAGATCCAATGAACCACTATCAATGCCTATATTAGTATAAAACAATCTTGGGGATCAAATTAATTCTCAGCTTTTCAAGATTATTTCATCTTCTCAGGTTAAGCTGACGTTTCGTTCAACATTGTAGATAACTTCAGAAAATAAAACAAGCTCTAAAGAGAGTCTCAATATTGGATGCCACATCAACTCAAGATGAGAAAATGATATTTGAAAACTGAGATCATTATTTCTTTGATCCCAGTGAATAAGCTGATAATTTATGAAAAAAACAGTTATAGGAGAGGAAAAAACAACTTTCAATTGAAATAAATCAGGTATTAACGATATTCAAACGAAGGTGATATTCAAAAGAAACTATTTGTGTGTAGGTTGCGTTTGAATATCATTAATCCCTGATTTACAGCATCAGTTGAAAGTAGTTGTTTGTTTCTCCTGTACAATTAAGGTTTCATGACTTATCAACTTATTCACCGTGGACAAAGATTTGACCCCAAATGTCATTTTCTACTAAATATATTAATAAAAAGGATTGTCCTAAAAAGCCTTGGGCCTTTTTTCTTGGCACCCTCCCCCACCCTTTAGGCCGCCGGCGCAGAGCCCTCGCCCTAATCCAGGCCGGCTGTCGGGGCGCGGGGCGGCGGTCCGGGCGAGCGCCTGCGTGGCGGCGCGGCACAGGCTCGTCCGTCCGCGCCAACAGCTGTTCGCGTCTACGCGCGCCTAGTGGCCCCGTGGCCTGGCTGGGATCGATCGCGGCGCGGGGCGGCGCGTCCTCGCCACCTGTTGCCAGCGTGGCAGCTGGCGGCGGCGGACGAGGCCCCGGGCGCGCCGAGCAGGGAGGCGTGCCCGCGCCGGGCGCGCGCAGACTAGCCCCCGGAAGCGCGCTCCATTCAGAGGCGGCTTAACGCCTCCCCCGACCGCGTGCCGGGCCCGCGCCGCCCCGGCTCTAAACCGCCTCGGCCACCCCCGCGCCACGCACGCCCCGATTTCGAAATTGCTTCGAACAAATAGAAAAAGCGCATCAGCGATTATGCTCCGTTCTGAGTTTTTCAATATTAAAACAAGATGATGGGAAAATTCACGCCGAACAAAATAGTCCAAGAATGTCGCATTTCTTTGAAAAATATGGTTCATCAGGACTACGTGTCATCGTCGCAAAAAAGTTATCTTCTCTTACACCGATTTCGGGCGCTAATATTCCTTGGGTAATTGTCTGTTGTCACCCGCAAACCCTGTAATGTTTCATGCTCACAGATAACGCAAGGACAATAGTAAAATTGAAGCTTCAGTTTATAAGCGTTCATGCAAGACAAAAAAAAAAGAACACCTAAAGCATTTTAATTGCAAATTTCATCCTTTTATACGATTTAAAAATACGAAGCTAAACTACGAAAGTCGCCCAGATGGTAAATGTAAGGTATTCAGGATAATGTATTCCCTATACTAAATTCTAAATTACATCAAACTTAAACATGCATAAATCAGACGGTATCTTTATGTCAAAAAGCATAGGTGAAAAGGCCATAGAATAACATCGAGACAATCCATTGCATTAAACATATGCTTTTAATTTTCAACAGAATCACTCTTAATCAACAAGAAATAAACAGTTCTGCAATATTCACAACATAGCAGAGAATTAAAATACTTTACCACAGTCGAATCCAAACGCTTTTTGCTTCCATATGTTCTGATGTTATTCCACAAAACAGTCATTTATATTACGACAGTCGATAAATACTGGCAAGTTCTTCACGAGTAAGCGTAATGTACACCTTCACTGTGGTGTCTTACATTTTAATTGCCGAAAAACTGAAGGAAACAATACGCCGTACGAATTTGACAGCTACGCCCACATGTCAAACCGCATGCCAGTTTTGGTTATTTCCACACTTAACATAAAATGACAGTTAACAGGGACATCCCGTAGGTAAGTGCGTTCCTCACACACATTTCACGTTTCATGACGCGGTTGTGCCAGTGACGAATGCGTACCACAACAACACTTCCTACCGCCAGACAACCGCTTTAAAAGAACATAAAAGTCGCCATGTTTGTGTTTATTGATTTTCAGATGCGCACATGCAACCGCGCAGTATCAAAGACAAATGACTCCACTCCCCCGCACTCAACAACACAAAGTTTAAGCGTACTTTTGAACCATATTTCTGTACACTTCGTATTAAGTTTGTGACCGGCATTGTGCCGATAAGAAGACAGTTTGCAGTTAATAACACCATGTTCGAGAATTGTCAATATTTGAATCTTGGTCTTGCAACGCCATCTATTGTCAACATTGTGAACAATCTTGACATTCATTATCGATACTTTCTCCGACTCGGGGAAGTAGATCGAAACAGCTGAGAAGTGTCGTCATGAACTGTCTGGTTGATGACTGTCACAACTTGAAGTATCAAAATAAAATATGTAGTGCAAGTAAAGTTTTTTAAACAGCTCTTTTGTTGTGGTATTTTACTTTTGTAGGTAAAATATGTTAAAATGTATTAAATAATTTAAATGTCATGTTACTTGAGTTGTCAAGAAATAGATGACTGTTTTGAGGTATTTCCAAACGTCATTTGGTTATATGAGCACGCACTTTCTTTCTGTTTTGGATGTTTTTGACAATTTATATTCAAATATCATTCAGAAATTACTCCATTATTGGTGCAATGTTCATATATTATTGATTAGAGCATATGTCAATGAAAAGCAAAAAGTGGTGAAAACAAAGCCACTTCAAAACTATTGAAAATCTCAGAACAGTTTGTTTGATAACTGAATTCGATTAATTTGCATTTTCTTATAGTATGTAATTATCAACTATACGTTGTTAATGATTGATCGTGTTTATTCATTGATGTCATATGCTTACTCTTCACAGGTTGTAATACCAGTTGTAACTGCATTTTATGTTGTCTTGCTGAAGACTTAATTCTTTCATCATTTTGTCCACCATGGATATGATGCTTGAAGCATATTTGACACATGAAGGGGCACTTGAGCCCGATGACATCCCCCAAACAAAGGAAACAATATGGATACTGGGAAAGGCATATCATGCTCCACACAGTATGCAAAAAAATCTTTGTTATTCTTACCAGTTGCGTAGCAATTCCTTGTTATGTTGCAAAATTAAGAGCAGATTTGCTTTCAGATGTAGAAGTCATTCGGAAAGATATTCGCTCCAAATTATGGTTTACATATCGAAGAAACTTTGTGCAAATTGGTGATACAGGCTTAACCACTGATAAAGGTTGGGGTTGTATGTTACGTTGCGGTCAGATGGTTCTAGCTCATGCATTAGTGTGTGTGCATTTGGGTGAGTAAGAATCATATAATTCAAAGTGATAAGAGTAATTTACAGTAATCAATTGTGTTATTAATATTGGTGGCATTACTGTGAGTGAATTTTTATCTGTTCTCAGGCAGGGACTGGATATGGTCAGCTAATGTTAAAAACAGTACGTACCTTAAAATTTTACATATGTTTGAGGATCGTCGTACTGCTCCATATTCTATTCATCAAATTGCTTTAATGGGTGCCTCTGAAGGCAAAGAGGTGGGCCAGTGGTTTGGTCCAAACACTGTTGCCCAAGTACTTAAGTAAGTACGAACATTTCGTTGAAGTTGTTTGTTTGAAGTTCATTAATAGGTAATGGCTTACATAAAAATTAGAAAAAGAGATTTAGAGTCATAATATATTTGCTTCTTAGTTTCAATAAAACTTTTAGATGTTTTAAAATGCTGGGAAGTATGCAAATCAGTGAACATTCTTGAGTGTTTGTCCCGTTTTAATTTGTAATTGGTACTTTTTTTAAGGAAACTTGCTGTTTATGATGATTGGAGCTCCCTTGTCATTCATGTAGCCCTGGATAATACAGTTGTCATCAATGAAATCAGTAAGTATGATTTTTCAGTTTTTTAAAAGATATTGATATTTTAATACTGAATAACATTTGTAACTTAAATAATTTTGTTAGGAGCCATAACTACTAGCTAACCTTTCAGTGTTCAACTTCAGCTTCTTGCATCTCATCTCTGTTGTTTGCTTATCTTTGTTCACTAAAAATAACTTTTAATCCAGTGCACTAACCAATAAGTTTAGAACCTTACACAACTTACAAAAGTCGAAGCATTTTATAATTTTTTAGTGGTGAATATGCTTTCTTTAAAAGCAGCTTTTAGATCTATTGAGGCTCTTTAAGTAACATCTTCATTAACATGATGAATATGTTAGTCTTTAATGTAAAAATATGGATATTCATGTTAAGATATGATACTTGTGTATACAACATCACTCATGTAATGAAAGCATTAATTCCTTCATTTAATTTGTCATGGTTTACCCTTGCAATATACACCATTTTGCTAGAGCTTGTAACTGCCTACGTTAACATGTTTTATAATACAGTGGTTTGTGAATGGCACAATATAAAGATCTAAAATATGTATAGGGAGACTCTGTTCTGTGAAGCAGAAAAGTGGAACTCAAAGTGAAGGAAATGCCAGTGCAGGTGGGGTTGTGCAAAGTTGGAAACCTCTCTTATTAGTTGTGCCTCTTCGCCTTGGCTTGAGTGAGATTAATCCTGTATACATTCGTGGACTAAAGGTGAGCACAAAATATCGTACAGTAATGCAAATCATTAGCAGTGAGAGTAATAATGTTACAACGTACTTAAATAAATTACATGTCTATTGTTTCTAGACATGTTTCACATTCAAGCAGTCACTTGGGGTGATAGGAGGAAAGCCAAACCATGCTTTGTATTTCATTGGATGTGTGGGTAAGTTTTTGTATGTAGCATGTATGCGTGTAAATTTTACCATCTCAATAAATTTGACCAGCAATCGCCTACAAAAGGAAAATAATTGTTTTGTAGGAGAAGAAGTCATTTATCTTGATCCACATACAACCCAATTGGCAGGTCTGGTGGAAGAGAAGGAACATGAACACGAGAAAGCATTAGATGCATCATATCATTGTGAATTTGCCAGCCGGAGTCACATTCTTCATATGGATCCTTCAGTTGCTGTGGTAAGGATTGTGTGACATTTATGGTATAAAATCCAATATTTGGTTAATTGTCATGAACATTCTTGTACAACAGTGTTTCCTGTGCCAAAGCGAAGAGGAATTTGATGTTCTTTGTCAGCTTATCCAACAGCACCTTATTGAACCTGAGAAACAGCCTTTGTTTGAACTTTGCTATGAGAGACCGCAGCAGTGGTCTCCAGTTGATGAAGGGGCTGAGGAAGCTCTTGGGGCTTCATGTGTTGGTATGTACAATAGAGAAATTCTTGTAAATGTTGGATGTCAATTCAGGTGGATCAGTAGAATCATGCATAATTTAAAAGATGAATGTTAGCTATTGAAATATTCCAGTCAGTTAAGTTTCCGTCAGGATTGCACCCTATTTGGGATGTGTATGGCTCACTGTAATGCTTTTCATCCAGTAAGAGGAATCCCTCTGGAAAAAACATGAGAAAGTAGCCTGAGATGTGTTGAATTTTAGTACTCTTTGTTGTGTTTTTTTTTCTTTCTTTCTGTAAAATAATATTATGAAAGTTAATATATTAATTTATTTTGTTAGAAATATTTTTATTTTCTTACTCATTGTTGGTGCGCTTTTATTCTTACTTGCAAAAAGATGTGACAAAAGAAAAAAGTGCCCTTCAAATATTCAAAATTATAATTTAAACTTTTTTATTTCACTAATTGAAAATCCACATTCATCAAAGAATTTAACACAAATATTGAATTCTGGAATTCTCATCTGTATTGGTTACAGCTTTAAGCACTATTTGCTAATTGAGGAACCCTCTGTCTTGAAATACTCAAGGCATTTTTATACAACTAGTGATCTAATGTACACTACTTTTACAAAAAATCTGTAAAAATATTTAATTAAAGTATATTTTTCAGTAAAAAGAATTTAACACCTTTGAAACTTCATCTATTAATGAAAGCAAAACTTACATTGATGCACAATATTTTGTTCAAAGCCTTGGATGACTTGGGGCGACATTTTGACGATTCTGATGAAGATTTTGAGCTTCTGGGATAACTTCTTGCAGCGTCATACTTGTTCAACAAGGATGAATAAAGAAGTGGCCCATTTAAGCACTTTCATCGCATTCATCTTTTTAGTGTGCCTCTTTGCCATGCGTGTGCCTGGCCCTCCTCAGGATGATGGTGTCGTGTTTACATCATTAGAGGAAAAACAAGAGAAGTGGGGTTTAAATTGAAATAATTCTGACTTGTAATATTAAAATATTCAAGAATGTTGTGCTAGCTTTACGAATCTCTTTTCAGTTCTGATATTGCAGCTTTAATTTGGAAGACGTTTTATTTGTAACTGTATGTTAGTGCAGATATTTTCATTGCCAAGAGCCTTAAAAGTGGCAGCTTGTGTAGCATGAAGACTGAACAATATTTGTCCCATGCTAAATGCCCTGATATATGATATGCATCTAATGTTAACTGGATGTACTTGCTGGTAAGACATTTTAGCCAGTAGTTGCAAATATTTTTGTTATCTTTGTCTGAGTGAAAAATGGGGAAATATTTCATGTACTATGAAAAGCTAATGCTAGCTTTCACTAAATGTAGCCATGAAGTCGTACAACATGAAATTAGGTCACAAAAGACTGCTCCTCTATTAATTCATTCCAGACTTCGATCTATTAATATAAGGAAATTTGTACATGAAAAGTCTTAATTGTAATTTATTGTGGCTCTGTATTGTCTAGTTCTTCTTTGTTGTTTTTTGTTTTTGTTTTTAAGTTAATCCTCATGGCATAAACATTGCAGAGTTCTTTTTAAATACATTTTGAAAATGTTCTTAATATTGATATTAAGTGTTGACCTTGAAAAAATTTCAAGACTAATCATAACTATATTGTAAAGATAACACCCCAGGTAATTTATAAAAAAAAGTGTTTTAATGCAAGTTTGATTGTTCTTAGAGGAGTAGCCTACTGTTCTTCAGCTTTTGTGAAAGCTTGTAAAATTGAAGGCAGATTCACAGATGTTAATTCCTTTTATTATGAAATAATATGAATTAATGGTATCACAGAAAGTAAACCATCACATTAAAAGCACAGATAATTGTATGAAGAACAGGAGTGAATAGCTGTGGAAAGTACCAGATTTTAAAAAGTGTAGTACAATTAGGATTATGCGAATGAATGGGAAGGTGTATGTGTTTCATTTACTTGCATATGTCATTTTATCTGATGGGATGATGAATGCGCAAGCTGTAAAGAAGCTCAATTTTCTGATAATTAGTATTTGCAATGGGCTATGTTCCTATCCACAAGTGCTAGAATATTTTGTCAATTCACTACATATCTAAAAACAAAGTTACAAGAAAATTATGAAGTTGAGCAGGAACACAAATGAAGTAGTTGTTCCTTTGCTAAGGGTTTTGATTGGATTCGAACTCATAAGCAAATGACTTCATGCAACTGTGTAACACTTCCTTTGATTCTTATACATGACAATATGCAAGTAAATGTCTTTGTGAATATTGTGAGTTATTACATTATGTGCATTAACTGTTTTTTCAATTTTATATTCTATTCTGTAATTTGTCAGTTAATTTGAAAGAGATGTATATTATGCTATTTTTCAGTATCCTGAATAAATTGAATGTGTTGAAAAAGTTGAATTTCATACAAATACAAAAACAGTTTTAAATTAGTTTTTAAAACTAGTATACCTGAAATTACATATTTAACCTATTCCAATTACAGGTGTTGTTTCGACTCCTTTATATTTTCAGCTGCTTGTTGCAGAATTATCTGAATATTGTGTTGTTTTTTTTCTGCTTTTAACTCTCATAAACTTGTTGGTAATTAATAATATTTATAAAAAAATCCAAACAATAAAATTTTTAATATTCTCCTTTTTAGTAAATTTCTTAAATGTTTCATTTTTTACTTTCTCATATACATATGTATACATTGAGTATTATGTATAGTATAGAGAAAGTTTTGTAATGGTTCAGAATATAAATTTTGAAGTTTCCACAGAAATACATATTTTATATACTCCTGAAGGTGCTGAAAAAGTATTGTTTTTCCTTTTCTTTTTCTTTCATTCTTTTTTTCTTTCTTTTCCCTTTCCTTTACCTTTTTATCTTCAAAATTTGTGTTTGTGAACAAAACTAGTGCCTAAACTGTTTGTTGTTGTTGTTCCCCCCCCCCCCCCCCCTTCAAAATGAATATATCCTTAATCAATGTTGCCCAACTTGAAACCCTGCAATTTTGAAATAAAATAATTGAATTTTGGGGTCTCTATATGAATCCCCTGGAATATTTTCAAACTTTTGTCTAAATACCCTCAATTTTTTTCATTAAATTTCTTGTAACTTTCTTGTAAAGATGGTATAGGCCTGATTTTCACTGTTAACTCTGAATTTTGAAAAATTGCAAGTGTATACTACACTATTAAAGACAGAGATTATTTTTCTTCAATGGGAAAATAATTCTTAGAACTTAAATTAATAATTTTATATATATACACGCACACACACTCACACACATGAAATTTTGAGAGAAATTGGGCTGGGCAATTAAAAAAAATTAAAAGCTGGATTTTCTCAAACTTGCTCCTAATTTTGTCTTTAAATTTTTGTAAAGATAGATAGTGTTAAATGCGCTGAATATAATGGCATAAATGCCATTTTCATGTATTCTTTGTATATTTCAAAAATTACACCAAAGTGCAGGGGTTGGCTAGATCTATGTGTTGTTTGGGGTGTGTGAATATAATCTTCCCCACCTATAAGAAGTGATACCATGTGACTTGTAGACATAGAAGAGAACAGGAAACTAACTAGTATGAGAAAGTCTGGGCTATTGTATAACACCATTAGCTAATTTTATTTTAATTTTCAGAAAAATTAAAACTTATTTTTTACCTTTTATACTACTTAGTTTCAAAGACATAATTAGAAGGAGCATTACTTTGGATATGAATGGTGACTAATACAATTAGGCTTCACTTGCTTTGGTAAAATTTGTAAATAAAGTATGGTGGCTTTTTGTATTAATTAATTATAGTTAATTTATAACAAAATTTGATAACTGCAGTTTAGTGGTATTTATCTTTAAACATGTAACTCTTGATAACATTTCATAATACTAACAAAGTTCTTAGATGATTCATTTCATGTGATGCACTCATGTTATAAATCTTTTGTCCATTTAACTTCTCACAGGGGGCACACTATGCTTGTGAAGTAGTTTCTTAAATCTCTGGGTTACTGAAATCACAACTGTTCAGGAAAGCACATTGTCATCATGACTTACAAGCATCCAACTTCTTGCATCATGTGTGTGACTGTGATTGATCTGTAAGTCTTGTATTTGCTGCCCAATTTACAATATGTATGCTGCTTTCAATTCAAGTATTTTCTATAATGTCTTCTTCACTGGGTTTTGATTTCCTTTCTCTTCTTATGTGAAATGCCATTGCACTTCAAATTCACACAAATTCCAAATATTTTAGCACATACCTGATTGAGCTCTGACAAACTAAACATAAAGTGGCTATAGCCTTTCAGAATTTAACTGAAACTTAGAAAACCATAGCCATATTAGAGTTGTACACGCGAGCGCTGACCATTCCGGCGTAGACCAGCCCTGAAGAAGACCACTGGTCGAAACGTCGGCAACACAGCCTTCGACGCGGCGTCACCCGGACAGCCAAGATCATTCACATGACTCCGGCCGCGGAAGCCTACGACTTCATCTATTAAAATACGTCAATTTTGGTTATTTTGTTCAGTATTAATATCGGATCATTGGATCGCGTCCGAATGGACCGTCACAGTGTAGGGAAAGTTATGAATTGCTGCGGAAAATCGATTTCGAGATTTCAACTGAAATACGTTTTGGGGTTCCCTAATAATAATAATAATAATAATAATAATAATAATAATAATAATAATAATAATAATAATAATAAATCAAAATGTCCGTCTGTCTGGGAACATCACTTGTATTTAAACCATACGTAATATTTTTCCAAAATGAAAAAACCGCTGTCCATCTCGCTCGAGTCGAATCTTTGAGGTTTTGAAAACAATTCTTTAAAATTTGGGGGTACTTTTCATGAAGCCCTCGGGACCTTTCAATATTTTCTCAAAAACGGCTTCAAAGTTTTCTTTAAATTTCTTGTAAGAATTGAGTAAAATAAACTTCTAAAGGTGGCATAGGAGCAATATACGTAGTATATGGAAAATTTTGTAAAGCTGCGGAAAATCGATTTCGACATTTCATCGGAAATACACATTTTGAGGTCCCCTAATACCAAAAACGTTTGTTTTTTTCAAAACGTCCGTCTGTGTGGTGTCTGTGAACACTACTAGCACCTAAACCATGCGTAGGAGTTTTTTCAAATTGAAGAAACCTATATCGATCTGGCTCGAGTCAAATATTTGAGTTTTGAAAAACATTCTTTAAAATTTAGGGGTACTTTACATTAAGCACTTCTGACATTTTCAAAACAATTTTTTTCAAAACAGCTCCAATTTGTTTCTTTAAATTTCTTGTAAGAATATGGTAAAATACACTTACAAAGATGGCAGATGGCAGATTTTCAGGTTTAACAGTAAAATTTCGAAAATTTTAAAATATTTCAGCGTCTTACCATAACTACAAAATTAAAGATAGAGATTTTTCCTTCAAATAAAATTTGTTCTACACAGCGAGTTCTTTCATTGTCATGAATGTATTTTGAAACTTTTAGTAGTTTATGCGCAATATGGCGTGCAATACGTGCAATTAAAAAAAGTACAAAAATATTGTCACAAATATGGCTCCACATTTTTTTCTTTAAACCTATGATGGGAATAATGCTAAATATACTCCTTAAGTTGACATAAACGTCATATTGCTCTATTCTTTTTTCTTCAAAAATTACAAAAATATATTTTTTTCACTTGTCTCTCATGTCGTTAATATATATATTAGTTGCAACTTGTTCACATTATTCTATTTACGAGTACATGCGCTTTAAATAATGTTCTATACAGTTTCTCGAAAACTCCATATTCAGTGAATATAGCTCAAAACTCCGCATTTTTAGAAACGGTCAAACGCCATATTCTCAAAAAGGGCTCCAATTTTTTTCATTCGTAGAAATCAAAGATTTCGAACGGATAGTGGTAATTGCACTCTTTAATATGACGTAAAGTTCATGTCGATGAATATTTTTGTTGTTCTTTTTCAATAACTACACAAATGTACATTTTTTTAAAGACCTCTCACGCCGTTGATTTGCACATTTCCAGCAATTTGTAAACACTACTGCATTTGTGAGTTAATGTACTTAAAATTACTTCAAATTAAGTTTTTCGAGAACTCAAACATTTTCTGTGAAAAAGAGCTTCAAAATTCGAATTTACAGTAGCGCTTAAACGTCAGTTTCTTGTAAAATGCTTCCAAATTTTTCAAAGAAAATTGCCATTTAGGGTAAGGTTTTACTGTTCTTTAATAATTTTAAAATAATATTTCCTCTCTACGATTAGGAAACCGAAGAATGTCAAAAAAATGTATTTTTGATGGCAATATATGGCAGCAGGCAAGAATATGTAGCAAATTCGAATAGCTAACCAAGAGCGATGGAAATAGAAAACTAATACGGGGAAGTCTGTGCCATTCTGTTGCAACACTAGTTTTCAGTATGCGAAATAACGCGAAAAGTGTGCGAAATATATGTAACGATTGGCGTCTTGACGTCTTTGTTTATTATTTACAAACAATAGTGTTACAAGACTGGGATCCATTTACTTTTGCACAAGTAAGGTATTTCTAGTTATTTGATATTTAATTTATATTCCGTTACTTGACGCATTTCGTTACGCTCACGGTGTGTTAAAAATAGTACACGTATAGTACGATTTATTTGGTTATGCACTTGACGTAAATCAGGTGTTGCAGTTTCATCCACTCAGGAGCTTACGTGTCGTTATAGTCCGCAAGCTCCCGATTGCAAGAAACCGTGAATATCTGATTTACATCAAGTGCATGGTTAAATAAATCCTAGTATAACGGCCGCGAGGTGATTCTTGTCTCTTTGTCGTCCTCACTAAGCTCGGACTGGCTCGGACGACCACGTTCTCGCTAAGCTCGGACGATCAACTCGACCCGTGCCTGAATCACTTGTTTCGCTCCCTTGTTACGTAAACTATTTCACTTCAGTTATTGCAGATAACCGTATCAAGTTATGGGCCACTCCACGTTTCAGAGCTTGAAAACGCTAGAAACGATGCATTGCGATTTGGATGAAATCATTTGATTTGCGTCATGCCGAGAGGTTAGTGCACAATGTTGGTGACAGAATTAAACATAAAAATCGAGAAAATTTTCGAAGCATCTAATTGGTAGAAATGGAAGTGGCAAATGCATATGCGTTTCGAACAACATGACTTGGCAACGATCATTAACGGAACGAGGCAGCATCCGGTAATCGCAAATGCAACAGAGGCAACGCCTGAAGAGGCGAACAAAGTTTCAGATTGGAAGCGTGACAATGCTCCAGCAGCAGAGTTGAGTCTGTCCGTGGCGGTTTTGGTGTTAACCTACAACAATGCCAAGGACATATGGGACAAACAGGTTAGTGTATGTAAACAAAACAGTATTCAACGTGTAAGTTTGTTAATGACAGGTGTTTACAAATTGCAACGTCATCCAGAAATGTAAATTGCTGCCCATGTGGCAAATGAAAGAATATTTGCGGATATGAATATGACTTTCGCAAGCAAGAATCACATGACGTTCCAGTGGAGTTATTGTACAGACAGGTTTTATCCACTGTGGGCATTGAGTAACAGCAATGTATGGGAGTTTCTCGATGACAACAAACACACGACAAATAGTTTTATGTAAAGTTGTGTACAAATGAAATACGACTAAACACTTGTACGCATCATAATCGGGTGGTTTTACAGCTCATGTGTACAAAAGGTCAATGTACATCACGTAAAACTGCAACCAACAAGTTAGCTGATGAAGAAAAGTCTAACACTACAAAAAGGAGAAGAGAATGTTTTTACTGTGGGAAGCCAGACCATATCAAGAAAAATTGTAGAAAATTGAATGCTAAAAAGGAGAATACATCAAGAAAAAATAGCATTGAAGGTTCGGCGTTTCTGGTAATAAAGTGATGCAACGAATGT